TATTCGTGGAGTTTTTCCCAAAATCGTTGCACAAAACTTGAAAAAATGCAAATGAAAATTTAAAATTATTTCCATGACGCCACAAAATAGCTCCGTCGGTACCTCGGGATATACGTCTTGACAGTAGGGATGTTCGATACGAGCCTATATCTAGAAGTATCAATACATTTCACGAGTATCGTCATCTTTCGAACCGGTTTGTGTTAGAAAGAGTGACTGCCATTTGGCTGCGACATTACCCTGCCAAATCAGACATATCTTTCATCATTTTCAAAGAAATTGTACAAAATCTTCAAATTTGTGAAGTTGCGAGTTTCACTTCATTCGTTGTTATCAGACATGAATGAATCTTAAAATTAGAGGCATCCCGGCCACCATAAGGAGCCAGTGCATAGGCCGCTTAAGCGGGCCCTTATGCATCTCTACAATACTTAAATCACAAGTCTCGCTCTTTTAGCGAAGTTGAGAATCACCTTGACGTCCTGAGGGTCCAAAGTAATGGATCCCAGTATAGTCTGCCTATAGTAGCTCAGAGCTTCACAGCGACACAAAACGTGCGCCGAGGTCTCTTCCTCTACCCCGCAGCGTTCACACAAGGGATCCTCAGCCACCCCCATCACGTGCAGGTGACGCCTTAACGTGTTATGGCCAGACAACAGTCCCACCAGCAACCTTAGGTTGGCTCTACCCAGAGATCGGCAGAAGCGTCCATCCTTAGCACTGGGCCCTTCAATGAGCTCTCGTGCCTGGCGGAGATGTCTAGAGATACTTCTCCATTTCTGAGTGTTGTCTTGCAACCCACGTCTCCATTTTCCTCCTAGCTTTTATGTGCGGTCACTCCTAGAGCTGGCTCAGGACCAACGAGCTTGCTGGCTGATCCTGTTTTCGCCAGAGTGTCCGCCGTCTCATTGCCCCTTATCCCAGCGTGCCCCGGTACCCATATTAACGATACCGGATGCCTCGCTGCGAGGCAATCCAGAGCCTCCCTGCATTGCAATACAAGACTCGAAGTAATCTTACTGGCACTTAGTGCTTTCATTGCAGCCTGGCTGTCGGATAAGATTGTTATTCTTCTCCTAGGCCCACCCTCCTCCAGAATGCGAGATACACAAGCCAGAATCGCAAAGATTTCCGCCTGGAAAATAGTGGTGTATCCACCGAGAGGCCCAGAGACCCCAGCACCTGAGCCCTCTTCGGTGACCGAGCCGTCCGTGTACCAGACCTGCCCGCTCACTTCGGAGAGTCCCCGGCTACCGGCGTCCCACTCCTCCATCGTTGGATACTCCACAATAAACTTGCGGTTGAAGCGATATTTAGGGGTAATACGATCACCTCTGCTTAGAAGGACGGGATCCTCCCTTTCTAATTCGACTAAGATGGCAGTATGCCCCTTGACAGGATTCAAGAAAGCCCAGCTGCCCTGACTCCACAGTCGATGAGCGACTACTCTCGCTTCACCGCGGATCACCAGATCCAACGGTGGGAGATCCAACAGAGCTTCCATTGCACTCAATGGCGTTGTTCGCACTGCGCTTGTAACTTGTAATGCTAATACAGGCCAAACGCTAGACCAGACCAGACATGCCCAAATCATCAGTTGCTGCCGTGATATTCATCCCGACCACTGCATCCCCACGGCTAGTCATGCTACCTAGTAAATTTTCGTGAAAAAAAATCAAAACCAGCAAATGTAAAAGATTCATTTCGCACCCTCCACTACGGGACGTGATCGTCGTTAGACTTGGCAACCCTGCGAGTGACAGATAGATATCCCCGCCAGTCAAAAAGCCAATCAAACAATAAACATTACTAGTTTTTATGATTTTTGGACTTAAAAGACATTATTTGTGAAACATTTTTCATAATTTTTTGTCTATGTCCATAGTAATTGCATTATGCATCAGGGAGATGTAGGGATTGACACGTCTTACACATATTATCTGTGTTTTAGGGTGGAGAGGACATAATGTTTTTATTGCTTTGAAGAAATTCATTAACACATAAATTAATAAATGATTACTATTATGATGTAAAGGAAGATGAGGAATTGGATGGAATGTATTTTATATTCTACTTTCTTGCAAAATACAGACAAATCCACATTATTCAACAGGTATGTAATGATAACACTCAGTATATTGAAGTTAGCAACTTCGAGATTGCCATGCATTAACAAACGTGAAAATCTGCTGCCAAATTTAACAGCTAGAAAATCGACCTATTATTTGCCGCATTCCCATTCGCTGAGGGGATAACGGATTGTCAATATATAAAAAATAATATAAATCAAAATACAGAAAGTTGTCCTGTTTTTTATGTGCAAAAGCATCATGTTGGAATCAAAAAGTGGTCTTGTTGATAATACAGTCGAAATTTCACGATTTTATTCAATATTTTAATAGAAATCACTGGTATTCAGAGACCTTTGACAGCTTCTGTCAAATTGCATTTCAATAAGGTATTTTCCCATTGGTCCATAATATTAATGTTGGTGAAATTGGGCCTTAGTCTCTTTCTACAATTGTGTCGACTTATTTAACGGTTTACTTCAGAGTATTAAGACACCCAAAATCTACAACAAATTCAAGCGGAAGTTTTTTCTATTGTATCATTTTATGTTACTTGTGTTTAGATTGTTTTCATGTATTTTACATTGTACCGCTGTATTTAAGATCAATTTTAACTCTTTTTTTTTAATTGTAGGCATGCCTAGTGCCTACAAGGCATTTGTACTTAAAGCTGTCAATAAATCTAATGTCTAATAACCTTCGGGAACCTATACTCTGGTTTCTGGGTAAACATCTTGTTGGCCTATGTAATTATTCAACAGCTCCCACGATATAAGGAGTCGGAGTTACAGCTACCGTGGTGTGGCGCGGTCGGTCGTACTCATCGTCATCCTTCATAAACAGCGAGACCTGTTGAGCAACCGAAGAAAATCGCCTGCCCGCCGCCTCACCAACCAAGCAGACTGCTGCTGCTGTCCAGAACACAACACAACATAAATTAGTAAAATAAATGTCTGCCAGAGAAATTAATCACAAATGTAATGATGTGAACAGGATCGCATTCAGAAAATGCATGATTCGCTACGAATGTATCGCAGAGGCCTGAGACCAGGATCGGCCTGTCGGTCATTTCAAGAGCAACCTGGGCAGCTAAAACGGACTGCAGAAAGTTAGTCCCAGCACGACTAAAGGGGCTTTCAGATCACAGACACTCTTGACGCTTTGATTTCTCTACCATCTCTACGGCCTTTACTATATCTGCTTCTATCTTTATATTTATCGTAGTCTCTATTTCAGCTGTTAGCTCATTTGGATCGTCAGGGACGAACTAGTCCCGAGGCATATATTTCTGATATGATGGCTTAAATCTTTGCTTAATGTATTCTACCTAGCGATAGCTAACCATATCCTGCATTTCGGTGACCAAAAAGCGATCTATGAGACCGTAGTAGATCACAAAAACGAAATTTTAGAAATCTACTTTGAAAAGGGTTAGAGTGTGTCCTTTTGCTAGGGTCTCATAGATGGCGCCAGGCTCTTCAATACCTTGTTGGTTATAATGCCTATTTTAGACTGGCATTGTTTAACGTTAACGTTAACGTATTCCACAAGAAAATACCCAATTAAAATAGAAATTAGATGAGAAATAATGATTGAAGATTCTAACGCTATCTATGAGAACCAAACAATCTAACACTTTTTAAAGTAGGTTTCCAAATTCACTTTTGTGTCGACGCCGAAATACAGTATATGGTTGGCTATTTTCAGGGACATGGGTGGATGTAAAAGTTTTTTTTTGAAACCCGCGCTAAAAAGTGCTGGGGGATCTCAGGATTCATGTTCCGGAAGATGTCCGTCGGGGAGAGTAGGTATCGCCTGCAAATTGAAAAATACGTTAGACGTATTTCTTAAACTCGGATATTTCGGGAAGACCGGACCCGCAGGGCACCCCTTTGGATTCAACACTTTTCAGGTAGAATACGCTTAAAGATGGATGGAATGCCAGATCATCTGGTTGAGAAAATTCTAATCTTGTTTGATATTGATAAGATTAACCATTTTTAAGTTCTGAGTTCAGTATACTAATCGAACCGAGGATATTAGTTTTCAGATCACCTTAACTTATTTTTGTAAAACTTTGGGAATCGGCTGAAGTGTGATTGGATTAGAGCGGTCAAGCAAACCTGTTTTTCCAGAAATGCCTCATTCTATTGAAAAAACACATTTTTTGCAACTAAAGGTCTAGACTTTTCAAATATATGGTTTCTGATATACAATCCTGCGTTAGGTCTAATCCGTCTCTCCTGATCTAAATTGGCCAGAGCTCGTCATTTATAGCTGTACTGTATGGATTTACTTAAAAAATCCGATTGAACTGAATATCTAACCTCAACTAATTACTGCTTCCTTAAAATTCCGTTCAGTTATACAATGTCGTTCAGAAGACACTTGCAAAACTACCTGCAAAGCCTACCATAATTATATATGATGTAAGAAGTTAGAAATATTGCATTAGGGCTAGTCCATCCATGACGGTCTAAACGTTAATTCTGACGAACACAGGCGTATGCAAAAAAAGTTATCGAGGGGGTTCAGCAGGGTGTCTACAGACTCATTTTACTCATTTTTTCAGTATTCTTCAGAGTACATCAGTTTCGATTACTCACCTTACCCATTTTTTTTTTCTTGTAAGTCCCATTTTCTCATTAGTTTGAGATGCACAGTACAGTGAGCCACCCTGAATGCTGGAGTTCAAAGCCCCCTGAAAATGTCCCGGCCCACAAATACCAAGATTACTATGCCAACAAATATTCGACATATTGTACGGTTCAAGATTCAATATACACCCACCTACAATGATGTCATTTGCAGGAGACCATTACGCATTCAATACTTTTCTTACAGACATGTTGTTTATTTATCAACAGGGGACCTTTTGTTTTTCCCAAAAATAAGTACATTTCGGCTGTATATTATTCTTAATCATCCCAGTCCGTTCCTGTATCCGTAAGGCGTTCGGCTCCTACGTTCGTGGCCGGTCGTGCGCAGTCGTGCAGGCTGCCATTACTGCGAGCCGCCTCGGCGGATCAAAGCGGCGCGCTGATTGGTCGGTCGCCGACAGAGACAATCCGAGCGCGCTTGCCTGTTTTCGGCTGCCGCGCAACGTTGCCGCGAGGGCAACCTCAGTCGATCGGCATCCGCCGTGTGTTTTGTATCGCTTTCTGTCATCTCACGTGTGTCGGGTAGCGCGTGTGGCCGTGTGACGTTTCCCCGCTTGTGGCCGTGGTGGAACCGCCGGGACGTAGCATGCCACCGGGGGGCAGGTAGTGCTGGTGATGCCGCTGTGTCAGTGAACCATGCCACACGTCTCCACAAGTGGCGGCGATGATCTCGGCAGCACCGATGAGGTCAAGGTGTTTAAGGACGAGGGAGACGGCGAAGACGAAAAGAGGTCCTCGGAGAACCTCACCGAGGAGAAGAGCAGTCTTATCGACCTCACCGAGTCGGAGGTACATACAAACCTTTACGACTTATTGCATGCTGTCGGAAAACGAATTATCTTACATATTTTTTAATGCTGAGACAATATTCGGACTTGAGAGATATTTATGATCTCTTGATGGTGAATCATCTATACCTAACCTGCTTTTATTGTCATTAAAGATTATTTAAGCTATGTGAAATATCAAATAAAACCAGTCTAATTCTACAGCCTTTTTAACTCCTAATTTTAAATCAGTTCAATGTGTAACCTAACCTATATCCTACATTTATTGTTATTATTATATAGGTATGCATTGTGTCTAGGTACAGATAAAATACCATTTATCCAAACTACTTGGATTTTAGGCAAACGTTGTAAGAAAGATCTCTTAATAAGATTAAATAGTGTAAATAAATATACATTCTAAATTTGGACCGATGTAGCGTTTTTAAAAAAATGCACTAAAACAAAACATTTGTAAAGCTACACAAAATGTGCAAAAAAACCCTCACTCTACATTATAAATAATAATATGTATTATAATATCAATAAATAATCAAAATCATCCTAGGTACTTAATAAAATGCAGATGCCCAGAAAATATTCAACATGTTATTTATCATCCTAATCAAAACATAACCTAAAATTGGCTCATAATTCCTTTTCTCAAAAATATGACATTTTTCCATGTGGTTAAGGCTTTTCTCTAGTAAGGGCGTTTTTTTTTTGTTGCATGTTTTGCTGATAATAATAAAATTTAGTATTTTTCAAATTAGATGGTAATTATTATATTAAATACGTATGCTCCACCCTGTACTTTACTCTGTAATCTAGAAATTATTTTTCGCACGGTATCTTTGAAGTGAAACTGTTTCTCAAAAAACAGGTGCAAAAATTACCAAACAAAAAAATAATCTTGGAAGGACCTGTTGAATTTTTGAAGGGATATTCTCCGCATGTTTTACATTGGCTTTTGTATCATAAAACAGATTGCATGCCACTAAACCTAACATTTACTACTCAAATTTGAAAAATGCATTGTAGTGTAACAAAATACTGTTTCAATGGCAAATAACAACCTACAAGAATGTTTGAATGAAGCAATTCGAACTAGATTATTCCTTGTCGAGGTATCCACGGCGGGAATGTTGCATTTCTGCAGGCCATCAAGAATCTGCCCGGGAATTTGCAACTGTGCCGTTGCACGGCAACCTCGCCTCGACGACATACAAATTGACTGATTACTTGCGGCGGTGATTAAAGAACTGACTCTTCAAGTGACTATGTGACTGCGCCAGACTAATGGCATAGAACTTAACACATTTTGCTTCTGAACTGAATCTGTCTGCTTTCCGTCTTGTTAATCATGACCAACCGCATACAACGTTGTTTCAAGCTTTTTAGCTATCATCAGTATCCGTTCGTAGAATCGTAACTGTCATTCACTGGTGGGCTAGAGATATAGCCTTCTGCATTTTCAGCATATGGGCCGATGTTGTATCAAAACACTTTATACATTTGTGTATACAGAGCTATAACTCTAACAAATTTGTTAGGAAAACATGTGGTACTGACAACTCGAAAAGCCATTTGTTGCAATATCAAATATCTTTCACACTTCGTTGCGTATTCAGCCAGATATTTTCTTTTGAGTTGTGCTGTTAGTTCAGTGGTTTTTGAGCTATCCCTCACCATTGCAGCTCTGTATTGCTTATTCCAAATCCCAACCACGTTTTCAAATGATTGACATCTCTAGCGGTCAAAATCAGTATGCCTCTGCACACTTTAATCAAATTATTTAGAACAAGTTGAAAAATATTTTGCATTAAATTTTGTTCAAACAAAATTATGCACTAAATGCTCTTTGACGCTATCCTTAATTTTGTATACAATTTATGTACTAAATTCAACACAAAATTTCGCATCATGGCGGAAGGCTAATGGGGTGTAATGACTGGTAGTATGCATAAGTTTGGTCAATAAGCTATGTGTAGATCACAAAAGTTGGCTTTGGAATAACCTTAAAGGTGAGGCTCAATGTTAAATCCAAGGGCACCATTAAACTCCTTGTTCAAAATTAGTAAAGACATTCCTTAAAAATACTTTACCGTTCCGATACTTGTGTTACACCAGGTATATGTTGTGGTATGGGGTCTCAAACTAGAAACACGTTTCACAACTCTCGAGTAGATACTTCACATCACATCGTCAATAACATTGACTATTTATGTTCCGAAAAAGCCACATAAAACGGTTCTTCCATAAATTAATAGGATTACACAAAAGCTCGCACATAACTTTACATCGTAAATCCAGCAAAAATGCAGTAAACTAAGCTCAGACTTGTTTATTTCTGGTCTGTATCGTCTTTGATTTTGTTTAAACAACTAATGGCTATCAAAGCGGGAAATAGTGTTGTTTTTGATGAACGGACGATTGTAGTGGTTCATTTTATCTATTTTACCATTTCTGCCCCGAGGTGTTGACGCGGAACGTGCAGGTGGCGCCGCTAGCAAAGTAACCAAATTCTCCAAGCATGCAAGCTGTCTGTCAATTTACTAATGCCGACAAAGATACAAAACGGTGTCGGAAGTTTATGAAATTACCTAAAGACAATGTTTTATCTTAGTAACAGTTTCTAGCGTTGGAAGTCGCAGGTAACAACCAGTGCAAAATAAAATTTCAGCTCGCTTGTCCGTCACATGTTGAATAGTGCGATGGCAGGCTGCGCTGTTGCATGCTTGACGCCGACCGTGGAGATTTTGGTACTTACCACGACAGTTGATTGCAAAATCACCGATGAGTTCGCAGATAATACCATGCCTATTACCTTTCTTAAAATCCTGTTATAATAATAAATAAGATAGTATATACGTACGGTGCGAAATTTATCTTGATAGACTTGAATCGTGGAAACATGTTTGGCAGCTTGTCCCAAACATTAAAACTGGAAGTACGTAACGCTCGTTTTTTATCAATTTGTCATCATCATCACACGTAAAATGCTTATGATAACAAGGAAGTCCATTAGAATAATTTTGAACCCACACACGTTATGAAAATGCCCTAATTCCTATGTAAGGGTATACCCATTTATTTATCATAAATCTTTATATCATTACAATTAAATGTGTAATAATATATTATTGGTGTATTGCAATATGTCTCATATGATCTCTCCATTTAAAATGTCGGTGACCTTCATGTTTTAGGAACGTAATCTGAATTGATAGATAGCTGCACAGCTGGTGTCTGATAATAAATGTACAATTTTGTCACATCATCAAGCAGAGCATGGAATAATATTGTGCCGCTAGTTAGATGTGTCAGTTATTGTTATATTGTAAAAGTTATATTGTAAAGTAACATTTTGGTTAAGTAAAGCGTTCCCTTGCTTGCCTCTAACACTAAAAAAGTGATTTTGGTTATAATCCAAATAAAAGGAATATTTTTATGCAAGAGATTGTAGATATGTTAATATAGGATCTGATCAACTAATATAATACTGGCCTTCTTGACGAATTGGATATACTTAGGTACTTAATAAAAAATATGGGTGAATATGCCGTGTTCGAAATTTCAAAGTTCTGCCAAAAAATCTTAAGCAAACCGACAAATTATAGAAATAAACGATCCAAATAGTGTAAAATACCATCCTTTATTTGAAACACATGATGAAATTAAGGTACTTAACCATTAAGACAATATGCTTGAAAATTAGCAAAATGTTTACTTCGCCGGAACTATTGAATTTATTTAGCTAACGGTATTTATATCACGTTTAAAGTATCTTTTTCAGTTTAAATGTGACGCTCCTGGCCACACATTCGGCCCTGATACCTATGATACTACTATGATACCTAAGCTGTCAAAATCAAAATATACTAAGTGACATATAAATCCGAACACCCAGTTTAAATGGTTTTATTTTAATAAAATTTTGTATAAGTACTTAATGAAGCATAATAAGTAAATGATAAAAAATTCAACACTGCTTTAAAGCCCTTTCACCTTTAATAATGTGTGGATGCACCCTGATGAGCTACGCATTCTCCAACGCGCCTAGGCATGCTTCTGATCAGGTGGTCAATGTCCTCCTGTGTTATCTCATTCCAGGCAACCACCAACTCCACTCGAAGTGCTTCTAGAGTCTGAATTGAGCAATCTCCTACCCGTCATATCCCACACGTGCTCAATTGGGGATAAGTCGGGAGATCTTGGCGGCCATGGTAACAATGTGACATTATTATGTTGAAAAAAGTCTATTGTGACTCTTGCAACATGTGGTCGAGCATTATCTTGTTGGAAAGTTGGATTTGCCAGGGTGTCAAGATAGGGTAAAATATGGGGTTCTAGAACTTCGTGGATATAACGCTGCGCGTTCATGTTACCTCTGATGAAGGTTAAAGGTGACCTGGAACCATAAGCTATAGCACCCCAAACCATAACTCCAACAGTGTGATGAACATGTCTTTCAACAAAAAACTGTGGATTCCTCCTTTCACCACGTCGCCTTCTAACCCTGGCAAGACCATCGTGCATGCCTAAACAAAATCGAGACTCGTCACTAAAGACAATAACTGTTCCATTCCTGATCCCAGAGTGACCGTTGTCTGCACCACTCAAGGCGATTACGTCGGTGTTCTCGAGTTAAAGGGAGGACCCAGTGTGGTCGGTATGAAAACAAGCCAAAACTTCTCATTCGTCGGTAAACACTTCGCATGCCAATATTTCTTCCGTGTTCTGCAAACCATTCATTTGCAATGGACCTGGTAGTGGAGAAACGGTCCCTTAAGGCCAATAATCTTAGGCGGCGATCTTCACGGTCTGTTGTTCTACGGCGGCGTCCAGTGCCCCTTGCTCTTTGCGTACGGCCTTCTCGAAGCCATGCCTGACAACACCTAACCACAGTGTCTACACTTCTTTGCACTCTAACTGCAATTGCCCGTAAAGAAAGTCCAGCTTCCCGAAGTCCCACTGTACGGCCCCTATCAAACTCACTAAGTTGACGAAATCGTACAGGTC